TTAATATATTTACCACTAATGACAAAAAATTAACTTTTCTGCAAAATTCACCCACTATACAATTCTTAACAAGTATAAAATAAGTTGTATTTCAAAAGAGCAGAAGAAATCTTATATTTTTTGAACAATAAGAATTTTTGTTGCTAATCTGTTGCTAAGAGATGTGTTTGTTTACTGGTAACCAAGTGCCACAAAGTGAACATCAGATTTTTACTTTAGCGAAATTTGCCAACGGTAAATGTCTTGTATTTAATCAGGTAAGCATTATTTCGAAAGAGCTTATGTTTTATAAACTATACAACTTATTATTAATTTGGTTTTAAGAGATAAGCGGGTTTTCTACTGGTAACGAACTGGAACGAAGTATAAATCGAGATTTTTACTTTTGTGTTGAATGTGTATTAATATATTTACCACTAATGACAAAACAATGAACTTTTCTGCAAAATTCACCAACTGGACAATTCTTAGCAAGTATAAAATAAGTGGTATTTCAAAAGAGCAGAAGAAATCTTTTGTTTTTTGAACAATAAGAATTTTTGTTGCTAATCTGTTGCTAAGAGATGATCACGTTTCCTGGTAACCAAGTTCCACAAAGTAAACATCTGATTTTCACTTTTGCAAAATTTACCAACTGTAAATTTCTTGTGTCTAAGCAGAGAAAAGATATTTTGAAATAGCTTGTGTTTTATAAGCTATGTAACTTGTCATTAATTTGGTGATGAACTGCCACAAAGTATAAATCAAGATTTCTATTTTTGTGTTGAATGTCTGTTGAGTCATAAATATAGTCATATATATTCCCTTCTCACTCTTCCACAGGTGGACTCTTTCATCCTCTGAGCTTGAGTCCTCTACCAGAAGCCTGGGAGCTGCAGAATCTTAGCTGTGCCTAGAACTGCATATTTCCGGACTGAGATGTCTGATGCTGTTCCTGGGATCGTGTGGTCCCTGCGCTCCTCGGCCCTGTAGACGCAGAGCGAATTCTAGCAACCTGCGGCCTCTTTCCAGGAGTACCGGGCGCCAGCTGATGGTGTAGACCCTCCGATTTCTACCAGGATCGGTTTGGTAAATGCCAGGTCGCTGACAAATAAAACTTTGGTCATTAGGGATTTCTTTTCCTCTCATTGATTGGATGTTTTATTTATAACAGAATCATTGACAAGTGGTTTGGGTGACTCCAGCATTTTTAATCAACTTGTACCGCTGAACTGCGGCTATTTTAATGCTCCAAGGATGTTGGGGTCCGGTGGACGTATAGTGACTGTTTTTAAAAGTTGTTTTACTTGTAGACAGTAGCCTCTGGCCTCGTTTAGTAGCTTTGAGTTTAGCCTATTTGAACTCAGCAGCTCTCACACTGTGCTGTGTGCGGCGGTCTATCGGCCACCAAAGTACAACAAAAACTTTATAAATGACTTTTCTGACTCCTTGGCTGACATCATGCCAAGGTATGACCAAGTTCTCATTGTTGGTGATTTTAATATTCATGTCGGTTGTCCTACTTCACCTATGGCTCAGTCATTTCTTAATGTTATCGATTCTTTTAATGTTGTGCAGTCTGTGACTGGTGCTACTCATGAGCATGGTCACAGTCTTGATCTGGTTTTATCTTATGGTCAGCCAGTTTTTAATGTAGCGATTGGTGACTCATTATTTTCAGACCTTATTCCTGTTTTATTTGAGATAACGCTGTCCTGTGCTAAAGCTAAAGCTAAAGCATGCGCTGCAGCTCGGTTCTGTCGTGTTCTTAACCCTTCTACTGCTGGTCAGTTTTCTTGTATTTTTAATCAATTTATTGGTGTATAAGGTGCTTCATAAATAAAGATGGTATGGTATGATACTGTGGTCTTCACCTTCCAGGCCTTCTCCAGTTCCTCTCTGAGGCCCTGGCAGTTCTCCAGTTTCTCATGCTCCTTTTTCCTGATGTTGTGGTCACTTGGTATTGCTACATCCACCACAACGGCTTTCCTTTGTTCTTTATCCACCACCACAATGTCCAGTTGGTTCGCCATTACCATCTTGTCTGTCTGGATCTGGAAGTCCCACAGGATCTTGGCTCGGTCATTCTCCACCACCTTTGGGGATGTTCCCCACTTTGACCTTCCAGTCCATATTCTGCACAGATGTTCCTGTACACTATGCCTGCCACTTGGTTATGTCGTTCCATGTACGCTTTCCCTGCCAGCATCTTGCACTCTGCTGTTATGTGCTGAACTGTCTCAGGGGCCTCCTTGCACAACCTACACCTTGGGTCTTGTCTGGTGTGGTAGGGCCTGTTCCTGTGCAGCCAGGATGAGGGCCTCTGTGCTGTCCTTGAGTCCAGCTTTTTCCAGCCATTGGTAGGATTTCCTGATTTCAGCCACTTCAGTTATTTGTCGGTGGTACATCCCATGTAGGGGCTTGTCTTCCCATGATGGTTCCTCCAGCACCTCGTCCTCTGTTCCCCACTGTCTGAGACATTCGCTGAGCACATTGTCTGTTGAGGCTTTGTCCTCGATGTATTTATGGACCTTGGATGTTTCGTCCTGGACAGTGGCTCTCACACTCTCTAGTCCTCTGCCTCCTTCCTTGCGGCTCGTGTTTAGTCTCAGGGTGCTGGATTTGGGGTGGAGCCTTCATGCATGGTGAGTAGCTTCCGAGTCTTAACATCTGTAGTGTTTATCTCCTCCTTTGGCCAGCTATTTATTTATTTACTTATTTATTTTTATTTCAAACAGACAGAAAAGACAACCAAGAAAGAAACAAACAAAAAAAATAGAATGAAACAAACTAAAGAAATAAAAGATAAAAAAAATTATTTTGACCAAGTGACATGCAAATTTTATATTTTCTGTTCGTAAAGGAGCAGGTAGAAGATAAAATGTCTTATAATGTCCTGCCCCTTTCATATTTATCAATTTATAATCAATTAACTGTCAAAACATCAAAATGAGACAACTTGTTTCCACTTTACATGATATTTAAAGATGTACCAATATTACTGTAACGGCCTTTTAGTGGGGATAAGTTAATCTTCTATGCCTCGCCTGCAGGCTGTGCAAAACGCTGCAGCCAGACTTTTAACTAAAACCCACAGAACAGCTCACATAACTCCTGTTCTGGCCTCATTGAATTGGCTTCCTGTATATTTTAGGACTCATTTTAAAATGTTGGTCTTGACTTTTAAGGCTCTTCATGGTGAGGCTCCCAAATATATACTGGATGTTTTAAAGCCTCTCTGTCCACCTAGGACTTTGAGATCTTCTAATCAGATGCTGCTGACGGTACCCAGAACTTATTTTAAAACCCGTGGTGATAGAGCATTTCAGGTACCGGCCCCGAAGCTGTGGAACGCTCTCCCACTGGCATTGCACTGCTCTGATTCCACTTTGACTATGTCATTTATATACAAATTGAATAATTTGAGTCCCAACACTGATCCCTGAGGAACCCCACAAGTTATGTTTAGTAAATCTGATTTCTGATTATCTAATTTTACAAACTGTTTCCTTTGTCCAATGTAGCTGCTTAGCCAGTTTAATGCCACCCCTCTAATTCCATACCTTTCCAGTTTTTTAGTAAGATGTCATGATTGATGGTATCGAAGGCTTTTTTGAGATCCAGAAAATACACCAATTGCAAATTTGCTTTTATCCATAGGCGTAGCTGTTAATCGCACAGATCTTGTTCTTGCCATTGAGCTGGCTTCTCAGGACTTGCCTTATTCGTTGGAGGGCTGTGGCTCCTTTCCTTGTGACCTCATCGAGGTTGCCATTTGCTTGTGGTATTCCCAGGTACTTGTAACTGTGCTCTATGTCTGCTATTGTTCCTTCTGGGAGTGAGACCCCTTCTGTGCAGACAACCTTCCCTCTCTTTGTAACCATCCGACCACACTTCTCTAGTCCGAATGACATCCCAATGTCAGTGCTGTAGATCCTGGTGGTGTGGATCAGTGAGTCGATGTTTCGCTCGCTCTTGGTGTACAGCTTGATGTC